CCATAATCTCGGGTAATTGCTCTCAAATCTTTTGACAAATGGTCATTTTAACAATTTTCACTCAGGGACCACACAGGGGTATTCTTGGTACACACCAGGTTTCACTTGGTAGAAACATCTGTAGATATATATATATCAACCTAGATATTGGGTTTGTTTGTTTGTCTGCGTATGTCTGTCTGTGCTTTGTATTTTTGTCTGTCAAACGTCTCTATTGAAGGAGTTTAGAAAAAACAGAAATTTTTTTATTCTTCTGCCAATGGAAAATTTTCTAACATTTTAAAAATTATTGCCTAAAACTCCAGAATAATAGTTTACAGTGCAATATTCGTCCCCTACCTCCACCCTCTTCGANCCAATATTACTAAGCCCTCACTGACTGTTATGATAGTAAAATATTCAACTTGCAAATTCTGGATTTTCACAAGTGGATTTATTTTTAATATTTTTCAGTTTCAAGAGATATACGGAGAATATGTATTCAACAATTCTCAGGATCATCTTTCAGATTCTTCAAAACCAAGGAATACTGTGGGAGAATCTGCTGAAAAGAGCAGCACTCTTCTCTTACAGAAATACACTTGCTACACTCTACTCCTCTAGAAATATACACTTGTTCCACCCTTCTTCTCTAGTAATATGCACTTGCTCCACCCTTCTTCTCTAGAAATATGCACTTGCTCCACCCTTCTTCTCTAGAAATATGCACTTGCTCCACCCTACTCCTCTATAAATATGCACTTGCTACACCCTACTCCTCTATAAATATGCACTTGTTCCACCCTTCTTCTCTAGAAATATGCACTTGCTCCACCCTACTCCTCTATAAATATGCACTTGTTCCACCCTTCTTCTCTAGAAATATGCACTTGCTCCACTCTACTCCTCTATAAATATGCACTTGCTCCACCCTACTCCTCTATAAATATGCACTTGCTCCACTCTACTCCTCTAGAAATATGCACTTGCTCCACCCTTCTTCTCTAGAAATATGCACTTGCTCCACCCTACTACTCTATAAATGCGCTTACTCCATCCTACTCCTCTAGAAATACGCTTACTCCATCCCAGTTCTCCAGAAATACACTTGCTCCATCCTACTCCTATAGAAATACACTTGCTCCATCCTACTCCTCTAGAAATACGCTTACTCCATCCCAGTCCTCCAGAAATACACTTGCTCCACCCTACTCCTCTATAAATGTGAACTTACTCCACCCAACTCCTCTGTACATATGTACTTGCTCCACCCTACTCCTCTAGAAATACACTTTCTTTATCCTACTCCTCTATTATTGCACTTGCTCCACCCTACTCCTTTAGAAATATACACTTGCTCCAACCTACTCCTCTGGAAATACGCTTACTCCATCCCAGTCCTACAGAAATACACTTTCAGGCATGCACAACTTCACCCTACTCGTCTCTTCTCATTTTAAGTACATTTGCTTCACCTGTCTCTAACGATAAAATTGCTCTAACTCAAATTATTTTATCCTGGATCTTGTAAAAATGAAATTACTTCGCTTAAGCTTCTTTTATGGAAATGCACTTGCACCATCCTCCTATTTTCAATCAAAGCTTTAATTATCCCTATTCAAATAGATTTTTAGTTGCTTCAAAACTTATTCATAATGAAGGTTCCTTCTTCCTACTTATACCGAATAAAGCATTTTAAATATTTCTAATCTCTCCTCCCGAGGATGAATTAAGGATCAAGGCCTCGCAACATTTCTTGAATAATATAGAAATTGGTTGGAACGAGTTGCTGATGAAAAAAAGGTATATGAGTGTAGAGTGTAGAGCCCATTATAATACGTTTTGATACAAAAAATATTTGAACAAAGGATGGATTGTTCTAAGGTAAACTATAACACACCTATTAATACATGAACAAGGTATCATTAAATCCTACCCTGTCTTCTTATTGGTTGGTTTCTCTGTACTGCTATTGGCTCCTGTGTTTAAAATGAGTAGTGAGCAGTCTCCCCAGTGTTTGCCTTGTAAACCCGATTATTAGACACCAATGTCTCCAGGCATGTATCGATTATGAAAACATTACATAACTCGAAGAATCAGTTTTTATTGTCACTACTCAACCCAGGACCAGGGACAGGTTTAGTGGAACATAGTAAAGGGGAGTTCCGCCGACTAGAGAGAGAAATTTCGAATAGAAAATTTCTTCACAAAATTTCCGAAAATATTAATTCTGGAAAGACCAACTTTAGAGAGTAAAGTATTTGAAAGACAAACTCAAGGAATTAAAAACAAGTTTAGGAGTAACAATGTCCTAAAAGACTAATTGCAGAGAGAAACACTCTAGAAAGACTAATTCTGGTGAGACAAACTCCGGAAAGGCTGATTGCGAAAAGATATTCACCAGAACTAAATATACATGTTCAGGAAAAACAAACTCTGAAACAAATGATTTTGGAGAGACACACTCCGAAAAGACTAATTTGACAGAGGCAAACTCCGAAAAGAATCTTCTGGAAAAACAAACTTCGAAGTTAAAACTATAAAAAGATCAGTAGAAAGTAGTTCCAAAATAATTAATTCTGGAATGAAAAACTCAAAAAAAAATCTTGAGAGACAAACTCCGGAAAGATAAAATTCAGGATAGGTCCGATTCCTGAAATTTTATTCAATAGTTACTTTTATTTTCTAAAAATAAGTTTAGAGGGACAGATGCAAACGTTGCAGCAAGAACAGGCTCCAGGAAGGCACTATGATTAGGAAAGACAAGGAGGTGAAGCACGGCGGCTAGAGAGCTAAGAAAACAGTATTTCCTAAACTTATTTTTTTCGGAAATTGTCCCTTGGAGTTTTATCTCTCAGCAGTTTATTTCTCCGAATTATTTTTGTCTCTTAGTTTTTCAGCCTTTTTTAATAATTCTACGTATATCCATATTTTGAAAGGGTACTCGAAGAATGTTTTTGGAATTTCCATTTTTGTCCAGAATTTCCATTTTGTCCAGAATTTCCATTTTTGTCCAGAATTTCCATTTTTATTCAGAATTTCCATTTTTGACCAGAATTTCCATTTTTGTCCAGAATTTTCATTTTTGTCCAGAATTTTCATTTTTGTCCAGAATTTTCATTTTTGTCCAGAATTTTCATTTTTGTCCAGAATTTCCATTTTTGTCCAGAATTTCCATTTTTGTCCAGAATTTCCATTTTTGTCCAGAATTTTCATTTTTGTCCAGAATTTCCATTTTTGACCAGAATTTCCATTATTGTCCAGAATTTCTATTTTTGTCCAGAATTTCCATTATTGTCCAGAATTTTCATTTTTGTCCAGAATTTCCATTATTGTCCAGAATTTTCATTTTTGTCCAGAGTTTCCATTTTTGTCCAGAATTTCCATTTTTGTTAAAAATTTTTATTTTTGTCCAGAATTTCCATTTTTGTTCAGAATTTCCATTGTTGTCCAGAATTTCCAGTTTTGTCCCTGCCTTGTAAAGATAAGTAGAGTGTTTAAGGTTTCTCTCTGATATTTGAGAAGATGTCTAACGAGGCGTTTATCATGGATCAGTTACTTGAATAATTGTATAAAAATAATCTTAATTCAGGTAATTTAAACAACCCTGTCACATAAAGATATGAAGAAAGAAATAAATTATATGATTAGTTCTCAAAATATGTTTATACAAAAAATATCTTATTTTGTTTACTTTATGTACTGCATATATATATGAAATTATCTGTCAAAATATTTGGCTGAACTATTTCGATTTAAATTCATTATTTCAATGTTTTTTTTAACTTCTAATAATTGCATTTAAATAATAAAAATTACTATTATATATATTTTAAATCCTGACTTGATAAAAATTCCCAGACTTTTTCTTCTTCTTACAATTTATATTTTAAATGTTCTTCGTTCATCACAAAAAAAACTTGCAGATTTTCCTGTTTTCATCGATGTATTCCCTTTTTTAGCTTAAATCTT